TATACGTAGAGTTATATGTGCAGAAATGTTAATACAATATATCTTGACTACTGAAGTGTGCTTCTTTTGATCTTCCGCAAGTTTCAAAATTCAAAAGACAAAATGAACCATGCTTGCTCCTGATCCTCTAGAGATCAGAGAAAATATTGTTGAGAACAGTAAATTCTTCATGCTAAGGAGTCAACGTAGCGCCTTGTTCAGAATCGCATGCAGCATCTTTCAAGAGTAACTTCAAAGTTTCCTAGTAACCAAATTATGCAGGATGCAACGCATTAGTCAACTTCTCACGAAGCCATGATGCTGTATCTTCTCTCAGCTCAGTCATCTGTATCAAAAATGATGCAGGCATCCTACCATCCACTTCGAAAACAGCAAGGCCAGGTTACACTACATAAGGTGAGACTTATAGCTCGCACATACAAGCAAATCATCAACTCAAAGATGAGAATAATCATACATCATCTCTACATTTGTTTGTGATTTTTTCCTTGTATTTTGTTTTTCAGCCTTTTGACCTTTTGGGTCCCCGGTCTTGATCTATTACCATTTACAAGCAAACAAGAGCTTTGACCTATCCGAAACATGTACATGACCTCCTCGATCTATATCCCATACCTTTTTGAAAATTGTTGGGTGTACCGTACCAGTCTGCAAATACCATGAAATAGTACGTAATTTAAAATCTGTGAAGCTACGAAGCACTTTAGTGTATTCAAGTGCTCTTTGAATTTGGAGTATTGGTGAGATTGTTGTAACTTCGGGATTATCTGGCTTACCCTCTTTCTTTAATCCCAGCAGAAACAGGACACAAAATGACTTTGCTTCGATTATAATCTTATTACTTTGTTGCTGATTATTTCATGCAAACTAAACTTTTGGGTTATTCTTTGTAGCAATTTAACATATGTTAAAAAACCTATTGTATTTAACATGCTTCTGAGCATATAAAATTTTCATTTGTTAGATTGTACAATATTTTAATTTCAATTTGATTTTGGATTTTGGATTTTGGATTTTTTGAAGATTTTGATACATATAGAAATAATTATGTTTTTTTATGTTGTCATTTTTTTTAATAGAATTAATTTTTTAATCCTATATTTCTTATTGAATATAAGCATTATTTTTATTCAATTCAATTTTAATTTCATTTTAAAAATTTTAGGGTGAAATCAGCAATAGATTGAGTTTTTTGTTGACTTTTGCTACATGATTAATCACATTCAAGTTAAATTATATAGATAAGAATGATGAAAAAAATCTCTAGTTCACAAAGTTTTAAGTAAAGTACATGATTTAGTCCATTGACGTAGCATTTTTCATGTATTCTTTGTGTTGACTCTTTTGTGTATTCTTCTATGATTTTATTATCTATTATGATATAGTAAAGATTTCTTGTTTAAAAATTCTAATATTCAAGGAAATTCAAATTTATTAATAAAAATTATAAGTAATGAACAATCAGAGAATGATGAAACTATTATATTACATAAATCATGAATTGATATACTTTGTCTGAAATTTTTTTTTATCATTTTTTATGTGTCTTGAAGTTGCAACAATAAATTAATGTTTTTGATCCAAATATTTACAAATCATTTACAAAATTCCTATTTTTCAAGAAATACTTAGAAAATATGTTTACAATCAACTTGAAGAATATATTTTTTCACTCCATAAATAGATATGTAATCACTAATAAAATTAATCTTGCAATTATGATATTTTTTTAAGAATTTTACTGTGTACATATAAATAATAAAATAAAAAACTACAGGATGATACATGGCCTATCAAGTAGTATTGATTCTTCCCTTTGGTGCTGGCTTCGATCATGGGTCCGCTTATCACCGGACATTTTTTTGTCATCGAAAAAGGTTTGCATATGCCAAAATCAGTATGGTCATTTTGAACAACATTCAGCACATATTTTCAAAAATAACGTGGAAAATAATATAACGGTATATCAATTGTTTTAATTTCTTTCAAAGAAATTTATAAACATCATTAATTTTGTTTGAACAAACAAGCGAAGGAGAATGTAACAACTTGGACATTACATATTAACAAAATATAAGCGTAAAAACCTTCTATTCAGAGGATGTAGGTAGGCTAATAAAATACCAAGCAAGCTCGTTTTATGACTCTTTCCAAACTCTCTTTACCAGAGTCCTAAGAGTAATGAGAATAGAGTCTTTTGCCACATACTCTTGCTTTCTTATCAATTCCGCCAAGCAAACAAATGTAAACAACATCAAATTTGATCATTTCTAATATTGAAATTTCTTACTAAGAAGCCTAAACCAAGGGAAAACACTAAATGAAGTCCTCTTTCCTCATGCCCAAGAAGCTTCACATTACAGCTTATATAGGAATATTTGGCTATCTTAGCGAAATTAAATCAGTAGAGTGCTGTGGAATATATAGATTGTTGATTATGTTCTGACGACTATTGAGATTCACAAAATGAACACTTGCAAGGCAATAAGGTAAAAATTTTACATTCATATTTTTATTTAGAAAAGCTACTCCTAATTATTTCCTACACATGTCAACTTTGCCAAATATCCGGCGAGCTAATGTCTTTTACCAAACTCACCTCCGACACTTGAAGTTACAAATAGGACTACAATTGCACCTTCTGAAATTCGACTTTGATATTCACTGAAAATCTTGAACCATCACTTTGTACATTCTACAAGCTATGCCTGAGTGTCTAAAAGATTCTCCATTACCTGAACCTCATTTTCGAAAGTATTCGACTACTCCCTGTCGCAGCATAAGGATAGGGGTTTAGAGTATTACTTAATCCGTCCGATGATCTTCCGACGTCTCTAACTCCCAACAATTGGTGTTATCTTATAGAGATATTTCTATATTCGTGCGGTCGTGAATTTTGTTTCAAGGGATGGTCCTTCTCCTCCATGCTACCGGTAATCAAGTCAAAGCTCTCTCTGGATATTGCAGGTGAGTTGCTGGTGCTGCACGCTCTTTGGCGAATTTAAAATGTATATGTTGTAATAGTCTTTCGGTCTGTCCACTTCTAATCTTTCGGTACAGGCTGACCTGCCCTCCGGTCCATAACAGAGAACGAATCTACTTCAACGATTGCTCCTAGACAAATTAGCACACGGTTCTAAGATACATGATTCGGATTCTGCTCATGCACTTTGAGCACTATAGCTGTGTGTAGTATAGTGATACCTGTCCGGACAACTGGAGAAACTTAGGGTTTCTCCAGTTGTCCGGACATATATGTATTATAGTAGGTACTAGGTAATAGCTTCATTAGCCATTCCTGCAAAAAAAAAAACAATTCTAGGTTGTTTAGAAAGTCCATTTTACAAAATATATAAATGATCCAATTTAGAAGAAATTACTAACTTACTTGACGCTGAAGATGAATACTATCGAATAGCTACTGGAAAATGCTTAGCATTAGATCAAAATAGTCAAGAAGAAAAAATTACTCGACAAGATTTTGTAGCTACTGCACGGGAAAATAATATTTTTTAAAAAAAACTACTTGTATAATTTTAAAATGATTTAAGAAGATTGTTGTGATTGAATTAGTACATTTTTAACCAATAAAATAAATAAATTATCTATACCAAAATAAAAATATTATTGAAATTTTAGAATACGCTAACCATCCATTTAAAAAAAATTGAATGAATAAGTGTTGAGTTGAAAAAAAATGTTTATTTTGAAATACTCATCTTTAAATATTATATTTATGATAATTATTTCATCAGTTAAGAGAACAATATTAAAAAGTTTGGTTCTTTCAAGTGATGAAATTCATTGCTACCAGAATTTAAAATTTTGAAAATACTGTAGAATCAATCTTCAATATAGTCAAACAAAGATGTAGATTTTTATGAAATTGGATTTGAATTCAATAATTTATTATTTGATATATATTATCCAGCTAAATAAGTGATCACTTACTTCCAGATCAAGCATCCAAATTTTAACTTGTAGAATCCTAAAATGAATGTCTCTACAACTAGAATTATTTGTAGAATTTCCAAAGTAGCGTTATGGAAACTATAACATATCTATCGAATAAATAACAGTCTAACAAAATTGTTGCAAAAAACTCTAAGATAGATATAATTCATAACGAAAGGAGCCAAACAAGGTTACGCTTCAGTAACATTACAACGGTACATATGTCATAAATCACTTAAGATATTTAATGATATATTTAAACATACAACAGGAATGTATGAGCAATCATCCTTTACTGCAATTGAGATTTAATAGATTTCAATGATTACTGAGTTCTAAAGGGCAATGTACACACTTTGCTTAAAATGTAGTTCAAAATAAATTAACGATCGTATATTTAATTTTTGCACATAATTACAAGCATTTTGAAGTTGCTGTCTATGGTTACATGAGAAGTCAACCCAAGTGAATTCTTGCATATTTATAAATTTATATATTTTTATTTTTTCTTTTCCACTCGAAATGACTATCATTAATCATTGACCAGTACACATTACATATCTATTTTATCGTTAATTGGTAACACTCATGAGCGAATAATGAAATAAAAATCTTGAACGGTCCAACCATAAGATAAGATAGAAGATATTCAGTTGAAAGATTTAGTGCAAATATATGAATGGATATGAAAAACTCATGCATCACACACGAAATCGATATCTACTATCAATTTATCCACATGACGTAAGATGCAGCGAAAGCGCTTGTACTTTATGCAGCAAAGCACTGTGATAACAGCATTGCAGTGCACAACGCCATGGAGAGCTGGACGGCTGATGTCACGCGGTGAACTCAAATCAACGTCGTCGATACGCACAATCTCATCACGAATATCGATCGATCTTGAGTTCTGTGGTTCTCGTGATCAGCGCACTCCATCTTCAACCTGTGGCTGTCCAGCCTCATCTGCTCCTCTCCAGCCTGTTCTATCCTTTCGTACAAGGACTACTTAATACCGGGGTCCACGCCTAGTTAGATCCCACAGCACACACTTTGCATTCCTTCGAAGCATTTTGCAATACAGAAGCGGGGCTCCACTCCTGCAAAATGGCTTCAGTCGTTGCTTCCGCCGCTCTGGTGACCCCGGTCACAGCTCTTGCTGCGTCCAGCACCACCAAGAGCTCCGAGATCGTCTCAGTCAAGGCCGGCCTCAAGGCCACCACCTTCGGCGGAAAGAGCGAATGGCAAACCAAGACCCAGACCAACGGTAGCCGTGTGTCTTGCATGCAGGTATGGACTCCTGGCTCTCGGCATTCATGTTTTGCATCAGCAGTCAATGTACTATCAAGTGTTATCATTCTGCTCTGCTTTTCTACTAGAAGCTGTGCTAATCAGTCATGTAGATTTGGAATCGGATTCTCGTGGGTACACGGCCTGTAAGTTTGGATACCAAATTCTCTGTCATGATATGCGAATTCTCATTCGTCTGGACACATTGAGACTCGTGTTTCCGTTGGATTTCAGGTGTGGGAGCCATACAACAACCTCAGGTTCGAGACCCTCTCTTACTTGCCCCCCCTGAGCCAGGACGCTCTTGCCAAGCAGATCGACTACGTCATCAAGTCTGGCTGGGCTCCCTGCATTGAGTTCGACACCGTAAGTTCTTCACCTAATTGTTCTTCACCAACTTGTTTGCGATGTTAGTACTGGAGCGCGAATGTATGAATAATTTGAAGTTCGATCACCTCGATGGCCTGGTTTTGACCGGTGCTGTTTTCTTTGTCTGGCTCTACAGCAAGGTGCCGTGACCCGTGAGGGAAGCAGAATGCCCGGATACTACGATGGTCGCTACTGGACCATGTGGAAGTTGCCCATGTTCGGATGCACTGACTCCGCTGCAGTGTTGAGGGAGATTGAGGAATGCAAGAAGTTGTACGGACACAAGTGCTTCATCAGGTGTTTGGGATTCGACAACACCAGGCAGGTGCAATGCGCCATGTTCATCGTCCACCAGCCTACTCTGTAAGTGGCTATATGTAACGTACTTCGGTCGTATATATAGAGTTAGCGACAGGTCACATGTCCGTAACTTGACCTTAATCTGGGAAGAGGTATAGATGGAGGACTTGAATCTGCTCTAGTAGTTTTGGAAAACTCTGCGAATTAGCTGCGCACCGCGGTTGGTTTTACAAATTTGAAGACAATGACGTGAACATCTTCGTCCCATCAAGCTTGCTCGATGTTATGACTGATGTATCCGGGCAGCTGCATTTAGCTGATGTATTAATACACGATTCCATAATACAAACATCTTGATTCCAAAAATCAACTCTGAGGACTCTGATGATTGGATGAATGACATCTGTGTCTTGTGTACAATGTGGATGTGGTCAATTTCATTTGTAGTTTCTGGGGAATTCTTGGTAGCGATGGTACACAAACCCTCTACCGTGATTAATGCTACGAAGAAAGAACTTAACAACAGATGAATCTTCTAAAAGGAACAAACAATTATCGAAATGGTTGAAAGTAAAATAATTGAAAAAGAGTACAAAACTACTTCCCAATACCAAGCACGGAAAGAAAAATCACCTCTATTTTTACTTTAATATAATAACATTGGGAAAAAACAAGAGTGGAAGAAAAAAAGGAGAAAAATTATCTATACTTATAAAAAAATATAGAAGGAAGAAATTACATATTAGCAAATATCACTCACTTGACACAAACTGACGAAAAAAATGAAAACATGAAATACTCCATGTAGAATAAGAAAGTATGAAAATTGAGAATTGGGGAAAAATAAATTCGTTAATCGGCCATATTATCTTTAAAACTTCTATAAAATTTATCATCTAAGTAAACGCCTGTCACCTCATATAACTTCCTGCAACATCGACATCGTTATAAATAAAGACGACTACTTTCCTTGTACTAAACCAGATGAAGAACTGCAATCCAGATGTCGGACCTCTTCTCTTGTCAGTGAAGAGGACCAGCTTCAAGCTACCACTAGTTCTATGACCACTCGAAGCTACACTCAATTTTCAACGGAGATTCGACAATTGTGATTTTATCACATCCTAGAATCAACGCTCATGTCTACCTTCAATGAAATGTCTAATGCTTCCACAGAGTGCGTTAAGGCTCCACTAGAAATAAATGTCACTCCAGTCGCACCTATCTTGTTCACCGTATGCAACGTGACATTGCCTGAGGCCTCCGTTTCTACTCTACCATCGATAAGCTTCACCGCCTCTTCGAGTCTGGAGACATCTACAGACCCCGATGGAGTCACTTTCACCATATTATCCAACATAATCCTTGTCACCCGGCTCTTACCACTACTGATACAATCTAGAACCTGTCGAACTTCATCTATCGTTCTAGTTTCTATCTCTACTCCCAAATCAAGGTTATGCTCTGTCATGTAACGATCTACCGCAGCGACGGCATTCTTAATCCCACCAGCCACGTCTACATGATTGTCCTTCACCAGAAACATGTCGTAAAGCCCCATTCGGTGATTCTCGCCACCGCCGATCAAAACTGCCCACTTATCAACGAGCCTCAGCCCTGGTGCAGTCTTCCTGGTTTCCAGAATCCGAGCGGGTTTTGCCGCTTCAGCCATTTGTTTGGTGAAAGTAGCGATTCCACTCATTCGCTGCATAAAGTTCAAGGCAATTCTTTCGGCGACGAGAATGCTTCTTGCCGATCCCCTGACAGTGCCAAACTTGAGCCCGTACTTCACATAGTCACCATCCTGCACATTCCACTCGACTTCTAGCTCGGGATCCACTTCCTGGAATATCATGTCAGCTAGGGCGATTCCGGCAACAATCCCATCCGCTTTCGCCATGAATTGCGCTTTCGCCTGGGCTTGCTCAGGAATTGTGGACAAGCATGTGACATCACCTCGATCTCCTGCATCTTCAGCGAGAGCATACCTAATTATGTCCAAAAGTTGATACGTGGGGTGGGCAGGAGGTGGAATTCTCACAGCCCTCGCACCGCCCAGCTCTTGCACAGACGTATTTGCCGCAATCTCGGAAGTAACCCGCACACACGATGTGGATGGTGCGTTCCAGCCAGATTTTGCTCTAAAGCACTTCAGCGAACCGGACCTTTCTCTCAAGCAACTGAGCCGCGATCTAGAAGCAAAATCTGCAGCCCAAGTCTTGCAGCCACCACCATTCAGGGCAGAAATCACCCCACCTGCCTGCATCTTAAGCGACGGATTTGACTGGAACCTACTGGGAGCCGACTTCGCTTTCGACTTCGTTATTGACTTCAAGGTCGAGAGATCCTCGAGTGTCAGAAAGCCAGGTCCGTACTGGATTTGCTCCGAAGGCGTCTCGAGCTCCAAACCCTTGCCGGCGTAGAACCGACCCTTCAGTACTGTACAACACTGCTACAGAGTGCACGGTCGACAAACTCTCCAAGCTCGACGCTCATCAGATTCCGGAATTTGTCATTACATATAGATGAATAATCTCAGGACGGCCTGAACTCCCCCGTTGAAAAAGTCGTAGCTATTTCCCATTGATTTGGCCTTCTGGCCTGTTTTCTACAAAGTCGTAGAAAAAACACTTCGAACGGAAAGGACAAACTTTACGTATTTTCACGCACTAAATTGGATGCTGGTCTCATTATTTTCCGTTCTAACTTTTAGTCCTGGATGGAAAAAATGTTCTAACAGACGGGGAACACAAACGTTATACACAAACGGAGAGCTCAGAGGATGTCAGTAGCTTCGACAGAGTCGTTGGCTGTCGGGGATTGCCAAGTGGAGAATCCCGAAAACTGACCCGTCCAGCAGAACGGAGGAGAGTTCCAGCCCGTTATGACCTTCGCTTCCCTTGGGAAGGAACGGGTCCATGCTCAAACGTCAAGGGGCTATGTTTACATTTCCTCGACCCCAATTCATATCCTGAATCTCCATCTCCATTTAGAATAGAAGTAATACCCCAGCCCCGACTTGTCCGATCCGGTTCCCAAAACATTGTTAGCAGAAAAAGTGGCTTAAACATGTTGATAAATTATTTCTCACCATAGTTGTGCAACTCAGTTTTTCGTTTTTTGAAGTCACATATTATTGGCGAGTTTACGAAAAGGAAGAATGGAGGAAATAGTTTATTATCAATTTTCTGTGTCTCTGGTTCTTCTAGTCAGGGGTGAAAAAACCCGATTTTGTTTTCAGTATCAATCGGGTTTTGGGTTTAATACAATAAAACCCGAATTTTGATGATGAAAAACCAAGGCTTTTTATTGAAACGTGGACGTCTTTGATTGGTTCTCGTTCTGTTCATTTACACGTGGACGTTTCTGATTGGATTTCTTTGATCAATTAGTTGGCATCTAGTAAATACCAACGCCGGTATATAATAATATTGATGATACCTGATTAAAACCCAATTTTTCTGGCCTCAAAGATCATCGGGTTTTTTTTTATAAAACCCTTAAAAACCCGATTGTGCTACCCGAGGGTGGTGTGGTGGTGGCGGTGGGGCCCAGTGCAGCGATGAAGTTGAGGGCTCCGTCACTCCGAAGTTCATCCTTTGTGGATAAACGAGAGCTCGATGGTGTAAAAGTGGAGGAGGGAGGGACGCAAAATCGAGGACCTTACATCAGCTCCATCATGAAGCGCAGCCTGTGTGGTGGTCGTGATCGCGAGCCGAAAGCTCCGTCTTCAGCCTCATTCTGTCCATCCACATCCCTGCTCGCTGCTCCCACGCAGAGTACTTAGCGAGGTCCCAAAGTGACGGGCAGACGCAAAGCAAGCAGCACTCGCTAGTATCACAACTCGCTCTGCTGTCTCCAATACTTTTCAGCACGTCCGCTGGATGAGTTCAATCTTCAAAATGCCACCACTCAGAGCTTGAGTTGAGAAAGCAACGACTTGCCTTCTCTTCGAGCTGTTAATCAGCGTCATACGCAACAGAACAATAATGGTTCTGACTGCATCTGTGGTCCTCGGGGTCGACTTCTTAACAGTTGTTAACGAGAAAGTTTCTTAACACTTAACTCTGGCATTATGGGCGTGCCGTGAACAGGTGTGGGAGCCATACAACAACAAGAGGTTCGAGACTCTGTCCTATTTGCCCCCATTGTCCATGGACGATTTGGCGAAGCAGATCGACTACGTCATAAAGTCTGGCTGGGCTCCCTGTATCGAGTTCGATGAGGTAAAACTCTTGCTCCTCCATGATCAGAAATTCTGAACAAAGCTGGGAATCATGGATTTGTCTGGTGTGCCGAGCTGTTGGCAAGCACAGTCCGGGTTCGGTTGTTCACTTCTTTTCTCACGGTTTGTGATGCAATGTATACCAGAGTGACAGTGTCAACCGTGAGGGCAGCACCATGCCCGGGTACTACGATGGACGATACTGGACCATGTGGAAGTAGCCCATGTTTGGGTGCACTGACCCCGCCCAAGTGTTGAGGGAAATTGAGGAGTGCAAGAAGCTGTACGGTCACAAGTGCTACATCAGGTTGTTTGGGATTCGACAACAGAAGACAGGTGCAATGCGCCATGTTCATCGTCAACAGGCCTCAGAAGGCTTGAGCTCCATAATGCACTTCACGTCTTCAGTAGCAAAAGTTCTGGTTCAATCGTTTGTTCTAGTGAACTATCCTGCGAACGTCAAATGGACGGCTGTCGAATGTAGAGTAAAATGTCTATGTCCCATGAAGGATTCACTCTTGATCTGTGACTTCATTCACATCAATAAAACATATGTCCATGTTGTGGAGGATTTGATGACCCTCACTGTTCTCAAATACAAACATATAATGTTTATGGAATTTTACCATCCCCTCATGGAAGAGACTTATGTTTCGGAGAAAAAATTGGTTTGAAACGCAGAGGTAGAAATTACTGCTGCATGCATTTTCCATTTTCCGCAACAGACTCTGGACATGCTCAAACTGTTACCCAAAAAGAGTTTCTCAGCGTTGGGAAACTAGTTTTGAGAACATTTTCTGTACTCCATCTAACGTGGCCAAACAATAAAATGTAGATGGTACATGGAAATTTTTATTCTTCATAAGCACATCAGAAGTAGAAATACTTGAACAGATAATTATTTCTCGGAACGAAGGCGATGACATGAATCATGTCATCGCCTTCGTTCGTTCAATCATGTCACATGATTGAATACTGAATACTCTCAATTGTCTTCAATGACGTAAATGACAGGTTTAGACCTGGAAATGTCCGCTTTTAAATCTGGGAATTATGTCAATCCCGCAAACTTCTTTCCATCTCTCTTCATTCTATTTTCTACTTACGCTTGGTTCTGATGAATTATAATCTGACGCAAAATATTTGAGCTGATATAAGAAATGGAACAAACAAAAGTTTTTTTCTGATCATCTTTCATTATAAATTCACAATTTTTGTTCAATGAGATTGTGAATGCTGAGGAAGAGTAATATAAAAATAGCAAAGATGAATAATACATGTCAGTTTTGACATATATATATATAGAAAAAATTTGTGAAGTCAATTGGGATTTTAATTAATTCTAGTTAGTATGCCTATAAATGAATAAACTTGTTCAGATTCTACTATATAAGAAGTCTTACAACAGATCTGTGTGACACAATTTAAGTTTTTTTTTTAAACTATTCTGTGTCTTGTGAATATAGATTTCTTGAGTAGAACCACTCATTTTTCAAGTGTATCATATTGAAAATATTTGTCAGTTTGAATAACAGTGTAATTTTTTTTGAATACATGGATATTAACTTGATTTGTGATGTATAGTTGATATTTTTGTGGATTTGATTTTTAAAATTATCTTCAAAATATTTGCTTTATTCATGATTTTGAATCCATAAACCTCAAAATGTTTTGAAAAACATTTATCAACGATTGGTTGCATCTGTACAGATTATTACTTGTACTTACAATTCCCTTACGACTCATTTTAAATCGTCGAATTGGAAAATATCTCCTAGGATCTGCTCATAGATTTGTGCTAACTAGCTGCATGAGCTCGAGCTCGGGTCGATTCATAAGAATAGATGCTAGCACGACATTTCTCGAAGCAAAATTGCAACCAACAACAAACAGGCTATTTGAGGGCACTTCACCCCAGCCACATTAGTAGCGGCAGAGAAGGGAGTAGTGTACTGGTACATTTGCACGTTATCCAGAAGAGGTCCAAAAGTCCCTTTAATAGTGCTTTGGAATTTGATGTAGGTGATATTGCTCTTTGCATAAAATCCTATAGTGCTGGTTTTCCAACCCACCATAGATTTGGTGCGACCTTTATTGGTCACCCACACCCATTTCGTTATTATCGAAGATTTGTCATCATTTTGGCTGTAGACAGTGAGAGAGAAGTATCCTTTGACTAGTTTTCCGGCTTCCGGATTGGCAGCATGATCAAAACTGATGTAATAATACTTTTTATCTATGGTGCTGACGTTACGACTCAGCAGGCCTGGCGAATCGCCATTCAGGTCGACAGCACTTCCACTCTGGTCTGTGGAAGGCTCAAGTCTTCCTCTGATGTACTTCACACTCCCTGATTCGAGAAACCACTTTCTGATTTTCCAAGATGGACTGTTCACAAGGTCCGAATCCAGAAACAAGCTCGTAGCTTCGTTTGTGAACTGCTCGAAACTCCCATTGTCAAGTATATTATACAAACTGACGTGCACATTGTCGATGAGAAATCCATAAGAGCCGCTAGACTTGCTAGTAATCATTATCCTGGTTTCTCGCCCCGTGCCGACATAAGTATACAGTTTTGTTGTCCAAGCAATCTTCGCGTGGGAGTTGTAGGGATTGCTTGCGTTACATTGAGGAAATTTGAACTCAACAAACAACCAAAAAAACCACTTGCGTCTGAAGAACAAGGTTATCTGCATTTTCTTGTACAGCTCTCCGCCCTCTGGAGAGCCCGCTACGTTGATGGAAAAGTTGTACACAGCCCCTGCAATCTGACCGATCAATGGCGCGCTGTAAATCGTCCCAGGGCCTTTCTCGCTGTTCATATGCATGCAGTAGTTCCCGACTCCATTCCAGGACAGAGAGTCAGGAAGGAAATATTTTGAGCTCGCCACCTGGAACAGAGTTGCAGAGTAATGAGCCTGAGCTTTGGAAAACAGTGTGAAATTGCCTTCACTTCGGTGGAGCTATCAGTACAGAAGGGTGACAAATTTCTCCATCTAGGCCTTCTTAAGACCCTAAGTCTAACAAGTTAATCTGATTGAAACCTCCGTCTCAGCTGTACCACGTACCTGCACGCTGCCATTTGTGACTTTCCAGAACGGAATTGCAACTTTTTTGTTCGATTTGCCGATCAACATTTCAGTCTCATTTGCTGCGAGAACGAACACTTGGGAGTCGAACCCTCCATTTAGCACAAGTTCGTTGGGTACACACAACGTCGTCACGCCCATGTGCACAAATATTAAGATGAACTTCCACAGCAGACCCTGGAACCTCTGAGACATTTTCTCTCAACCCGCCGCTCATGACCACTGCACTCGTCTCGATCATTCTCGTAGTCTAGCCTTCTTCGATAGGGTTAGGTTAACCAATCGTCAGACTGCTCTCGCCGTCTCGCGCGTTTGAAGCTCGGCCCAACCTTCAACGTTCTGATCTTTTCATGTCTGCCCCAGTTATCAAAAGATTTCTAGAATTTTAACACACCAGATTCACCTTGCTGTTTGAGTTCAGATGTCAAGCCCTCTCTCCTCTCAGTTACGTAGCTGCAGGTTCCAATTTCATTCAGACTAAGCCCTTGGATGATCTCTTTCCTTTAGAGGCACAATCACACATTGGTTTCATAATATGGTCACAAAGCTCAAATCTCAAGAAATGTAACTGTGATATTGTTCAGTCCGTGTGGCACTGTCATCTTCGCAGTTGCATATATACGACATTGCATCCCTTCACTCTGCGCGTATGGCAAACTGAGGTGAAGCGGGCGCGGGAGCTGGAGGTAAGGAGAGATCCTCGATCTTGAGCGCGATCCATCCAGATCAAAATTTCGCTCCGCCGAAAAGAACCTGAATTCACATATCCTTCATCCTGTCATACCAGCGTATCGAGTCAAATCGCCTCGTCAATTTCCTCAGAAGTGCATCAAGCTTCTCGATTTTCCCACAGGATTTTCCGCTGGTTGAAGCTATTTGTTGGGAAATTTAAGAAGCAATCGAATTACAGCGATCGGTGATCGAATCTGGATTGCCTTCCGATTCGTGGCGCGAAAAGCGAATTTCGACGAAGACCTCCTCCTTCGATTTCGATCGAACCCGAAGCTCTGAAGCGGTGCCTTGCTCCGTCTTCTCTGTCTCTCCTACACGCTGCTGCCCTGGACGACACGTAACTGCTCCAGAACGACGACACGTGGACAAATTCTTTTCCTCCTTCCGTCACCGTCAGCATCAATCGCTGACTAAAGATTAACCTGGTTCCACCGAGTTTTACACAGTTGCAAAAACCAAACGAATCTGAAGGCTGGCGTATCGCCACGTCGCAGTTCGCTGCTTCCCACTGCGACCAGGCGCAGTCAGCGTGGGACCAGCGATCCTTCACCTTTCACGCTTCCACAGAATCTGGCTTCACGTGGTTTCTGGTCGGCGGGAAGTCCCGCCTTCATCACGGTACAGTTCTTATCAGTCCCACGTCCAGTAGCGGCCGCGAGGTAGAGCAGACGAGCAACGAGCATTGTCGGCAAGTCACGTCGGGAACTGCCGGATCGGACAGGAAGTGTGAGGAGTCGACAATCGAGGCTATGGTGAGCAGGTGGTTCAATCAGAGCCAAATTGATTGAAGATTGGGTAAATTTGATTGGTTGGAGTACCAGAGAGCCCGGGCCTCCTCCACACTTTCTCGTTCAGGCCACTCGACTAACACGAGGCTCCGGACGCGGCCGCTGTTCAATGCGCAAAGTACTCTAGCCGAGGAATTGCTGAATTGAGAGAGAGCTGCGAAAAGTGAGAGCGATCGATCGATCGATCTTATGACGACCGCCTCGGCAGTCACAGCTGCTGTGAGTACGACGACATGTCTTCTTCCTTCTAAATCTCAAAGAAGCCGTGGGGAACTTCTGGAATCTCGGCCTTTGAGACCCGGGAGAACTTCGGGACGTCTTCTGGCTGTCAGTCAAGCTCAGTGGGGTGGTGGTGTGTCTAGGGGAAGGAATTTGACGACTACTTTGAGACATAAGAAGAGCTGGAAATGCTCTTCTGGGCCCCAGAATTCGGAGACCGACAGCAGTGACGCCACGGATGTGTCTTCATCCGGACCTCCAAATTGCTGCGTAAGTACGAGTTTCGTTGCTCAGAATATAACGTGCTGACGGTTCTTAGCTGTAGAAAGGTTTTCACATCTCTGTCGCTGTCCTTCCATGATATCAGAATGATGCAACAGGGCAAGAATCTCCCAGTGCATCAGCGGTGGAAAACGTGGCAGCTTCAAGTCCTGGTACTAGCAGTACGCCAGAATTTGAAACGTTCGGTCCAGGAAAGCGAGGAAATCAGCTGGTGGCAGTAGCATCAGTGACGATTGCCGTGGGGTTGTTTGCACTCGGACGAGTCGGGGGAGCTACACCAAGCCTCCCTCAATTAGCTGCTCAATCAATCCCATATGAAGAGGTACTTATATCCCGGCAGTCGTGTGTTACTTTCGTCGCTTGCATAGTCTCCCGAAGCAAGAACCATTGTGCTGACTCAAAGCCGCATGAATTCCGAAATCTGCTGGATTCATATTTTTATCTCAACTCATGATTGTAGCAACCAATAAAGCGATTGTTTCTTCAAATGTCTCTGGATGGACGGATGATCAATCTGTTACTTTATTCCACTATCCTTTGAATGGTAATACTAGCGATGTTGTCCAGCCCATATTGCATCGAGTAATTCCAGAGCTTCCGCAGCAAAAGTGTTTGCATGCTTTCTGTGACTTCTTCAATTGCCACTTTGGTCATGAGTAGAGACATAATTCAAGCCGGCTTATCCCTTTTCGTGAGTAGTGTCTCGTAATTGTGGCCACCCAGCCACAATTACGCTCAACCCGTTTTCTGGTCAGACTCACACCTTCGTTTGTCGAATCTGCCAATTCACGGTTGACACTCTGGACATGCTGCTGCAAAGGAGTGGTTTTAGGTCAGTGAAGCTAGTAGGAATTTTATCTTTGAAAGTCATCATGTTCCTTAGGTTTCACTCACAGGATTTTGTCATCGTCACAGGCTTTAGGAAATGGCAGACCAACAGTGGTGGAGTTCTACGCTGACTGGTGTGAGGTCTGTCGTGAGATGGCCAAGGATGTGTTCGTTGTGGAACAAGAATACAAGTATGATTCCTTCCCCACGCGTAGTTGCCACTTGAAGCTCACTGAAGTTTTTTTGATTGCATCTCGTGTACGCTTCATGTGTATTGAATATCTCCAGATGACGCCAAGTGAAAGACATTTGTGATATTTTACTTCGGACTACTTTTTGCAATGCAGGGACAAAATTAATTTCGTGATGTTGAACGTGGACAACACCAAGTGGGAAGGAGAACTGGATGAATTTGGAGTTGAAGGGATTCCGCATTTTGCGTTCCTGGATGGGAAGGGAAATGAAGAAGGCAATATTGTAGGTAGGTTGCCTAGAAAAATTCTGAAAGAAAATCTTGCGGCCCTTGCCCGAGGGGATAATACAATACCTCATTCTAGAGTAGTTGGTAAGTTTTCTGATACCGATTCTAGACAGGCACCACCCGTGGTGGAGCCCCGCAGTCACAGCCAGCTCTCTTGACATTTTTTTTGTACAATATTTGAAGTCTCCAGTCACGGGCTTCGAACAATTGCTCATGTTTCATTACGCCATTGAAAATTTGTATAGTAAAAATTGGGGCTCAGTAGAGCTGCTCATACAATCATTGAATAGGAAAATAGTAACAGTTGGCGTTAAGTGTTGTGCTCATTGGCGCGACCAGAATTGTGTGAACGGCCCCTTCGTGTGTAGTATTAGGAGATGGAGACCGAAATGGAAGGAATGAGAAGAGGAAAGAGTTTATGCCAGACAAAGATATTGGGCTCAACAAAATTTAGTAGGCAAAACAAATCGACCGTAGATAGGCTTCAAGGCGGTCTTATAGTGCAATGCTCACAGAAAGCATAAAGAATGTAATGTCTATGCGCAGGCAATAAGTACTGAGCGATGTCTTAACAGAATATAGTCGAACCGTAAACCCTTGTCCAGTCAACTAGAAGAGAATTAACTGGGTTCATAAATCGCCTCCTCCTATTCAAGGAGGCGATTTATAGTAAAAACAGGAGAGATATGTCCAATTGGGTCAACCTAATTAGAGTACTGAGAAAAAAAACTGTGAAGCTGGAGCAGAGTCCAGTAATTTTCTCTCAATCTTCAAGCACAACTCCAACAACCGCTATCTAGCATCCTGAACATTCGTATTACTGTGTCGTTAGATGCTAGATACAGTCATGATGATATGTGGTTGTCGTAAAACATGTGTTTATCAAATATAGTTTGCTAATCAGCGTTGAGAGTGCTGAATTAACCTTCCTGACCCCGGACCCAATGAAGCGAGAGTGAAGAAAGGAGAGATATGTCCAATTGTAACGTGAGTCAGGCGGATAAGTTAGATGCTGCGAGGATGAGATTTTACCACTAGCTGTTCTCCGAGTCAGTAGAAGTCGACCATCGAAACGCCACGAGACGAGTGTTTTTACTGAAAAAAATGAAGATGATAAATAATGTATACACGAGGTTTGGAATGTTGCTGATACCTATGAAGTCACAGGTGCTCCCGAGGGTCAAAAGGATTTTGTTTTCATCATTTTGCTCGCTGGCATATTGATCAACCTGGGTTCCATGTCGTATAGAAAAAAAATGGTAAAACATGATTAGCAAGAAAGAGTAAAGTGGTATATGATAGATAACGGCACTTGAGGAGACACAGATGTCAGACAAGAGCTGGAATCACCAACTGAAAATAAACTTTGTGTATTATTTTTTATCAATTTGGATAAAGAGCAAATTATATAGCAAGAAGTATGTTATCACCTTCCTCATCATAGGTAGTACAAGGATGAATCCAAGGGGTAGTATGAGGCTAGATTAATTTTGAACTAGAATACATCAGAGCTAAATTCTTCGAACAATTGAATTTTAACAACCTGAATACTAGAGTACATGAGAAAATATCAACTTATATGACTAACATCACAGTTGCAACACACAATGTTTATTTAGATCAATGGATACACAATGCATAAAGTATATTGATATAATCTGGGACTAAATATATGATTACATCCGCGTTCTGAATAGTGTACTATCAAACCTTTTGAAAATATTTCAAGAGAATAATCATAAAATCTTGTTGATACTTCTCAACTTTAATCTATATCTATTACAACGTATATCAAATAAGTTGATCCGATTATTTTCAGCGTTCTAAAAAAATATTTTTATAGGAAAATAAAGTTTTGGAAAACCCTATAAATTATATACACATCGTATCACAACATGGAATACTTCTTTTTTTATCAAATGCCATCGATACAAGATCGACAAGACAATTACACAACAACAGTTTCATTGTACTCTCAAAATATAACAAGCATATTTTGTTCATAATACAAGAAGATCGAATATGAAAATGTTCGGATTCTAAAGTTCCGAATTCACCTGCGAATGTTTCACCACAGTCTCATTCAATGGGCTAAACTTCAAAATATCCACCCTTCGATGGCTCTTACTACTGCATACGCTTCGCTTGCACACAACTACTTTGTTAGTAGTGTCTCTATATCAATTTTGTGACAACCATAACGTTGCTTGTCTTCTTCCCATGGTTCAACAGGAATTGTAGCTACAAATTCTATACATGAAGTTTTTTACTGCAGCGAATTAGTGTTATATACAACATGAACTTAAGGAGAGGCCAAGAGACTTCGGAAACGTAGATCACAATCGTGGACATTAGCGCCGAATTATCTCTCGATTCGTTTCCTTTCCTAACCGTATTGTCACCAGAAACGTACACAAATGGTCATTGCTTCGCAGCTAACTAAAGGTCGAGACCAGCTTCCCGGTACACATGTAGCGGTAAGCGTGGCCTCACGAGGAGTTGAAGGGGATTAAGTTTCGGTGCGGATTCCCCGACCACCTCCTCCACGTCTATGTCCAGAGGTTTCATTCCTGCCGGAAGAGAAAATTCACAAGAGTGGAGAAGTTGAGCTGCGGTCATGGACACTACAACGAGGGCCAAATTGATCCCAGCACATATTCTGCGACCTGACCCGAAAGGAATGAGATCGAAGTCCTGGCCTTTGACGTCCATTGGACTATCGACGAATCTTTCCGGATCGAAGTCCAGCGGGTTCTTCCACACGCTGGGATCTCTGCCCAGCGCGTAGACGTTGATGATCACTCGAGTCTTCTCCGGAATATCGTACCCGCCGACATTCGTGGCCGACAGAGATTCGTGAGGAATCATCAGCGGTACCACAGGGTGTAAGCGGAACGTTTCTTTGAGAACTGCCTGCAGGTACTTGAGGTGTACGAAGTCCGATTCTTGTACCAATCGATCTCTGCCCACAATAAGATCCAGTTCCTGCTGTGCCTTGCGGTAAGTTTCTGGGTGTCGCATCAGCTCTGTTAATGCCCATACGACCGTACTCATACTCGTGTCCACCCCTGCTATCAACATGTCCTGCGCAGCCATGCAGCAAAATGAGCTGCAGGTCAGTCCTGGGCTTCATAATTACTACTTTCTCTTAAACTTGCATCAATGAGATGTTAGTTCTGTCATACTCGTACTCTTATCTGCAGATAGTACGAACAGCAACCTCAAACACACACTCTTCTTCAAACACGATTCTCCATTTGGAACAGTTGAAGATGGTAAACTAAGAGCTTTAAGGCAATCAAGACAGTTCTGTTCAGGCCCAAGCTCATGATGCTTCTGCATGGCTTATATGAACTCCATGCGTGGATCTTCAGTATCATGTTCTCTCTGTGTACTGCTTGGGTAAACAATTCTACTTTAAACTGACACTTCATATCTGTCGAGTGAGCGCATACTGCTCATTAAGGTGACGATACCATGGTCAAATGCAGAGCTGGGAAACGGATATAAGTCCATGATCATTAATCTCTGGGTGTCCAATTTCTCCACATACAAACGAGGAAGAAAAACTGCTTACCATCAGTACACCCTTAATGCAGTCGTCCGTGAGCAGGCGATTATTGTCCTTTTGCAGTTGGAGTAGCACATCCACAAAGTCTTTGGCTGTTGTGCTTTGACTTGCATCCTCTTGGCGATGCTCTTCTATGATGTTGTTCAAGAATCGATCATATCTGAAGAAAAGGCTTCTCATTCTCGCCTGGCTTCCGTCTAAGTCGAATCTGCGTAGGAAGGGGATGCATTCGTACAGAACCATGCCACCCAACTCAGAAAAGTCCCTGCTCATTTGACTGAAGTCCTCTGCCTCTAGACTGGCTTTTGCATTCGTGTTCCTTTGGTTGTAGAAGCTTCGGGCGAAAAGCTCCTGGGTTATGATATTGCACCCCATCTCTCTTAAATTTATATCTAGTTGCACGGCATCTCCATCCCGACCCGCTTCAAATAAGTGTTCCACTGTGCTTAACATTTCTCTTCTCCTTGTTTCCTGCGTCCAAACCACCAGCAAGTCATCCTCATGACAACATCAGTCTCTCTCCTTCAAACGGTTGGCAATATTTTCGTATTCTGCACCAATCTTCATTCTTATCCAATCTCCACATGAGTACCAACATTGTACTGAGACATGCCACGCGTTTTAGCATTATAATCATACCACCTTAGTCCGTTCATCTTCAACTTTCTGAAGCATGCTTCTCCTTCACTTCAACACGAGTTATCCCAGTGTTAAATGTACTTATCGGGAGGTCACTGGTACCCAAACAAAGTCAGAGGAAAGTTTAAGAGTAATTACTGTTCAAGCTCAAATTGATAGGGAGTCCGCTTTCGCTCACACAGAAGCTATAAAGAGCAGACCCCGTGAAACTTTTTGGTACAATTCGAAGCTTGATTAGTGCATAGATTGACACTCGTCCTAATAATCAAACCTGTAAGTCACACAGGCTCTGTTTCCAGTGCGATACCGGGTTTTCGAAGATCTGCTTTTGAAAACGATTGATTAAATTGTTTCATGACGATCAAGGCGTGCACAGGTAGATAATTAAGAAAATTCGTTTGGCAATGCTCTCAATCAGATATTCATATGTCGTCACTTATCAAGAACGCTCCAACAAACTTTGACGAACGATACCGGGAATTAATTCTACGACAAGAATATGGAAAACCCGATCACGGCAACTTAATAGACGTAGCGTTGGTCGAGAAGATAGAAAAGCTGGTGAAGGACAGATCGCGTAATGCCTCTGATCGCTGGAGTGCAGGGACATGTAGAATAGTTAGATTGTCATAGTACAACTAGAAATTTCACAGGTAAAAAGTCCATACCGTAGATAGTTCGACACGTTTGGGGGAGAAAAGTTCCTGAGCACAAATCTTACGTAGGAAACGCCAGCGTTCTCCCATAGCTCCCATGACTACGTCCGAGTTTTGATATCCAAATAGAATTCCAAGGGCAGTACATTGAGCGCGCGAACCGAAGACATGGTCTTGAGTTTTCAAGATGACTTTGGCCATAGCTGAGGAGGAAACAATTACTGCGCGAACTGCCCCCAGTCTGACCGTCATGATAGGACCATATTTGTCGGCCAGATCCCTCAAGGCACGGTGATTGCTCTTCTTGGTAAGATGAAGGTGGCCGATAATTGGTAATCCTGGCGGCGATGGTGGAAGTCGCGAGCGTCTCTTGCTCATAAACCTCTTCATTGTGTGCAGAATTACGAGCAGCACAGCAACGCTCGCAATTTGGCTCACGTACTGCGTAGGAAGCAACATCGCCATTGTTCTTTCATCAAAATCGTTGGCCTCCATTTCTTCAGACGATTATCACCTCAGTGCTTATCACTGCGTAGAGAGTGTTCCTCCCGTCGAATCAAGCATAATTTGAACTCTTTTTCTTGGACGGGCAGCAGAGCAAATTTCCTCTGAAGTGTGTTACAGTCACATTTGCTGAGCTGATTGCGGAATTTTATAGCATAAGATGTGACCTTGGCGAGCACTTCGAGTCCTCTGCGTCTGTACTAATGTTTACGTCTCTGCCAGGTAATCGCAGCACGCATGTGTGCAACTATGATTACAATCCGTTCGATAATCGACTCAGATCAAATCTGGCATGCTTCGTACATCATGTCGCTAAATGTTAGTGAGTGACATGAACAGGACTTCGGATGAAAGTGTTTCTCAAGCTGTGTCTTGAGATGCACCATCGCGGGACCATTGGTCCTCCATTTACTTGCGACTGCGTGCAGTTTCTGTGAGATGGGGAAAGGTCACACACGACACCAACCGTCATCTAACTGCTGACACTATCCAGAAAGTTGGTATTTAAATATTGATTGTTTAAAAAGTACATTCCGTTGCGGATTTAAAGAATCATATCTAATCTGCTTTAGAAGCACACCAAATCTTCAGTACTCCTCCCGAGGAATTTTGAGATTTGTCTCGTAAGTTCCCGCGTTTCCAAGTGATGCTGCTGCCAGCTTTTGAAATTCCAAAATTTCGCATGGTATTAACTAATAACCATCCTTAGCATAATACTAAGGATAGTTGTTAATTAACCAAATATAATTACTTACTCTGGCACGGCCATGGGTAAAAGCGAAAAATCAGCGAAATTCGTAAAAATGACTTGAATACTACTCATCTTGAGAATTCGGAAGGTTGTACACGTGAATTCTTCATATCCACATGATATGAAGGATATAAGATTTATATAAAATCTTTTAAAATAAAAATTTATAACATTTATTTAAAATCCTTGCATTCTTCAAAACCACTACTGCTAGATACAACTGGGGAGAGAGGACTGGTACCTCTGAAAGTTACTCTGAATACTATCAATCGAATGCTCATATCTCGTTTTGAATTTTGTACAGATAATGTAACGAAATTGACCACATTGGATGATAACTCAGTCCTCGACAATTTACTTCTATAGCTGTAATGATTGAAAGGTACGAGCTACAAAACTTACGATTCTGTAGATGCCGGCCTAGTCACGGGGTCCACCCATGACTTTCCAGATAGTATAACTTTTTCGACTGCAACACGAAGGACGAGTGTGCTCGTAAGTTCAGAAATTGAGGGATACCTGTGGTGAAAGTCTGATCCCTGCGAGAGAATTCCGCAGTGACGATAACAAATGTACATATATCAAGAATTGATATTTCTGCTCTGAGGCGAAGAGCGTTCCAGGTGTCTGTTGGGTGAAGATCACCTAACCCAGGTTAAACACACAAACACACACACAGAAGTTTTGCAAACACGATCCAAACATCAACCGAACAATTTTACAATGAAAGTGCCGCGCTTGGCTCCTCTTTCAATTCCTCTTTGGCAGTTTCGGTTGTGGTTGTCGTGGCCTTCGTGGCCTTCGTGGCTTTCTTTTTCTTCTCAAAAAGCCGAAGTATACAGATCATGAGCATCGATATTCTCTGTCTCATCTGCATGTGAGAATTCTCTTTCTCAGTGCGTGTTTTGATGCCGAGCATCGGCAGCATCTTTCTCAGGTACCGTCCTTTGCTCTTTCCTTTCGTGCTTTCGGCCGGAGACACTTCGGTCAACTTTTCCTCTGTCAAGTCACGAATAAACCGGATTTTTGGTCCGTGAAGTAAGTTCAAGAGTTAACAATAATCTGAAGGCAAGAACGCTGGACATTGAACTTCAAGAGGGTTCACCAGATGCGCTGTAAGATGTCAACTGGGATGCGAGACGATGCGAGACAACTGCAAACTATTCTGTCCACGCCTCAGCCAACGTAACCAGACATTATATGCTTAAGAAATGGAGAAGGTGAGGTCTCAGATCCATCGTGGTTGCAGTGGAGGTACCTGTGGTGGTCAACTCTTCAGGGGCCTTGGGTTGGACTTCCTGCTGAGATTCCACAGCTTCCTGCTGAGATTCCATAGCTTGAGTGAACTTGAAGTACTCCTGAGAGGAAAGCTCGATACACAAGCCCGCTGGAGTTCCAATCAGCTCCACGCGAAACTTCGATTCTTGATACGAGTAATGAAGTATATGGAATCCAACAGCACCGAGTGCTCTGAGAGCTGCGAGCTTATGATCAATACGAGCTGTTTCGTCACTACACTCACAGGGTGTAGGTGTGGGAATTGGCCTCACTACCTCTTGGGTTTCCGGGAAGGGAAACTTGCAGACTATCATTAACTGTACTACTTAACGCAGAGAGAGTGCCTTCAAGACAGATCGTTCTCATGTACAGAATGACTTCAACGACGAACTGGTCGTTTATAAGGACATGGATTTCATACCAGACAACACTCGTTATCTGGATCTAGCCGCGTCTAGAACTATCGATTGATTGGGATCCCGATGCATCCAGTCTCTGTGCGAAGTCAGCTCCCATAGACACAAGGGACGATAGTGGTCCAGCTATGATTTCTTCAAATTCAGAAACTGGCAATTAAGCCTGTTGACAAGATGTTTCGGGCTTTCTTCAGCTCCTAATGAATGGAGACGCAAAATTTAGCGTCCGCAAGGTGTCAAAGTCAGCGCACAAGCTTACAATGGATAGAGAAGGAGAGTGAGCTGGAAAGTCCCAGCATCTTGGGAACGGATTCTCGGTTGTGACGAAAGATAAAGCTCACTTCCCTCTTCTTAGAGAAAGTACAGCTGACAGAAACAACAATGCAGCCAATTTGAGCATCAACATTCATACCGCGTGGAGTTTACGTCCTATGGGCATACATGGAGTCTTGTGGCTCGAGAAGGCATATATGGTTCCGCTCTTTCCCGCAAAGGTTCAATGACCAAATAAGAAAGGAATTTCCGCAGAGGTTTAACCAGGGAGTCTCATTGGCTGTACAGCCCCATGCAAGTGGAAATCCCAGTTGGTCTGGCTGTCTAGACAGCAGAAACAAAGAGCCGCAGTTTGATCGGCGAGAGCTCGTGTAACAGGTGCTTTTTTTGGAAGTCAATTAATGCCATAGAACAGCCACGAGTCCCCGAGTTAGCTCTCACATTATGAGAGATGATCAACGGGACTGCTTCACGTGTTAGATGCTCAAAGGGCATGGCCCATGCCTACGACCCATGCCGCATGGGTCGTAGGCATTTGCCCGGTGGAAACCCAGCTCTGTCAAGCCCAACCTTAAACAGTGGAGGAAGTTGCTATATTAAACGTAAGATCTCTTTGTACCACATGCCTTGACGACATGCCTTGCAATGCTTTCAGACTTCCCTCAGTTTCATGAGAAGTTTCGCTCAAAACCTGGAGCGAAAACTGGGCATCTGAAGGATGCAATTCGAGGGCGTGCGCAATGAGATTGAGTGAGTATCATATGGTCTGACAGTCCGTTGACCGAGGATTTTGTCTCCGCTTTTGGATCATACGGCGATGCACCCACTGGATCCTAAGACGACATCCGTGCAATCGTTGACTCAGGAGTAGAAAGTTAAAATCGTCACATCTTGGCAAAGATGCAACTTGATGGAGTATCATCGCCAGATCCGTGGGAGTTGATGTCAAGTCTGCATCGGGAGTTGACTCTTTCGATTAAAACAATGCCATTTCCTACTACTTCAGCTTCATCCTTGTTCGCAGCTACAACGATTTCATGTTGTACTTACTGCTTATAACACCGTGATGAGATAGATGGTGGTGGAGTGGAGCATCATCATCATCTCGTTCAGCTTCCTGTCCGACCGTGGAATTCATGCTAAAAATTATTGATGAGTTTCAGCTCTCGAACCAATGGTTGATAACATATGCAATGAATGACACGACTTCTTAGACATTGTAAGCGGAGTGCCGAAGCACCCGTAAATCCATGTCATCTTTTCATTTTTGCCGATGACAAATAGATGGAAACAGAGTAATCTAGCAACATCTCACATTTCGGACCTGAAGTCCAATCTCAGCATCTCACATCGCTGTTTACCCATTCTGACCGAGAGATAGAGTTACAGAGGATGTGGATTTTCAGCTTCCTCTGGGTGGCGAACGGCATGAGGCAAAGTCTTCAATTTTAATTTAATTTAATTTAATTTATTCTTCAGCTTTGGAATTATACGGAGATGTGTATACAGACTTGAACATGTTAGTGAGAGATTGAGTGAAAAACGGTTACACTAGATGATTTTGTAATCCCGTTCATTGTCCTATTGTGCAGTTTAATTTTGATATCATGCTTTCATTGCTATACAGAGCAGCCTACTGTTTTTTGTTCATTGTTTGATTTTGATAGTTAAATATTCAGTAAGTTGTTTAAGACATATGTCCAGGCATGCTTACGTCAGTCAGTAGACTAAATTAACTTAATTTAGTCTCATGAGGAAAGTTCATTTAGGAGTCTCTTAGTTTGTCGCAAAGAAACTCTTCTAAATGTCACGCATGGCAAGGTAACTCCCTGGGATAAGAGCGCCAACATAATTTTCTCACGTTTATTTAACTTATCACTTCCAGTGATAAGTTCACAACGTAGAGTCCTTACATCTCATATAAATAATTGTGCTTCTAATCATTCCATGACATTGTGCATCCACGTTTCCTCATCTTTGCTAAGAACTAGTCTTCAAAATTTAAGATTCACCTGCAGATCAAACACTTCTCTCCGTTCAAATTCACTACACGTGAATTCGAATAATACGTGAAGTCCCTTTGCACACAGTCTAGTATTTTTGTTGAAACCAGAATTCTGTATCTTCGTGATTCAATTTGAATCACATCTGCTACGTAAGAGTTCAAAAATCATTGCTAAACATTTAACTTACCATTGAAATTTTCCGGAGCCAGACAATTGATGTTGACGGCAAGCCTTAATCTAGTCACCAAAGTGAGAGGACTTTTAAATAATTTAGGCGATATGCTAAACGGTCGTCTAAATTAGGCATGGCTAAATATGTATCCTAACGATACTATTTGGCCCTAGTGCTTATCACCTTTTGAATTTTCACCTTGTTATGCTTGATGGAATATTCACATCCTTTTTGAATTTCATGTGGTGATTTTTGCTTTTTGTCTATCATTTGCTAGCCATTTCATACCTATACAGAGTGATGTATATATTCATTCTTCTTTATTTAATATACTTGGCCCTTGTAATAATTTTCTACTTTTAATCTAAAAATGCGAAATAAATTTTGGACAAGTAAAGCATCTTAATGTGTTATGATGTGTATCTTTGTTGAAAACCAATTAACAAATTGGAAAAATTCACTCGGCTATGAATATTTCATAATGAATACAATCTTATACTTTGAATGTAACGGTACTAAGTAAAAGTATAGAAAGGAATGACTTTGTAAAATTTCAAGTTTTTCTTTATTCGTCACATAATTTATGAGATCTTTTTCTTAAACAATTTTGCTGCATGAGAGATAAAGGATCAAACCAAGAAAGCTTTGAGTGTAATGTAGCAGATATCTTAGCATTGAAATTGTGCACTAAACTCTCTTATGGTTAGTTCTTTGGCTTTTTGCACCAAAATCTACAAGATGTTCCACAAGACATTGCATTAACTAATATTTTATGTAAGGTATTTTCACGGAAATCTGTAATTTTTATTGTACTTTACATTCCTGTTTGGAGTAGCTTTATAAACAGGAGAAGCTAATAGTAAGGTAATTCCTTCTCATTAGTTTCTCCTGTTACAAAAATAGTGTAGACATGAATGAATGAATATATATATATATATATATATATATATATAGTTAAGATTTTTTAAATTGCGGATATGAAGATAAAATATAAGGGCGTTTGGACTTTTTGGGAGAATTTCATGTTCTGGGGAATTTGGCAGGGCACGAGAGTAATTTTGTAAACGGGAGAAGCTACTGAGACGGTGTATAGGCACGTCTCTCGTCCTGCTCTAAGCAGAAGCAGCAGAACAATCACCCAAACCAAAGATGTTTCTTTGCAGGCTTTACGACGCCGGTTGGATCTGGAAATATGCTTCATGCGTGCACTGTGTGGAGAGCAGTATCTGGTTATACGAAATAGCCATCATCAGGCCTCTGTAGTTTAGGCATATGCCTATTTGTGCCTAATTTAAGTACATTAGGCACATATATGAAATGATAATGATAAATCGTGAACATTTTAGTCACGACTTTCCAGTCAAGAGGAGTCAAAGGAGGTCTCGAAAAGTCTTCATTCGGACCCTTTTGTTTCTGTGCCTGTCAGTAGACCTCGGCAAGGTAAAAGGTAAACCGTAGGTCTCTACTTTTACCCTACGTTTTACGTGTCATTATAGTCTACCTTTACACTCTCGTCACTAACGGCTCCTAAAAAAGGAAGAAGGCGAGCGCTGCCCGGGTGGAATTTCTGCCCGCCCGGGCTCGCATCCCCACCCCATCCCCCCGACCTCCCGCTTCGACCATGGAGGCCTTCCCGCTTTAGCCCGCCCCACTCCCACTCGACCATCGGGCTCTTTCCCTCGCGGCTTCCCCTTGTGCTCTTTCCCTCCGCAGGGAACTTGTACTTTGTATTTTTTTCCCCTTTTGCAAGGGGAGGGGAAATGGAGTAGCATGTTTGGGGCTTCCACTCTATTGTAAGTAAATTAAGTAAGTCACTTGTGACATTTGTGTTTAAAAAACATTGATAGAGGGAGGAGCAAATATTTTTTTAAAAAAATTTGTGATCATGAGATTATTGTGAAATAAAATTTATGATTTGAGTTTTTTCATTGATTTTGTTATCACTTTGTAATTGTATAATCTTTCATTATGAGTTCTCTTGTGATTCTACATCATGTTAATACATGAATAGATTTACTTAGTTTTTAAAGTACCTAGTTTTTGGGGGAAGAAGAGTGTAAGCCCCAAACATGCTATTCCCCTCCCCTTGGAAAGGGTAGGGGAAAAAAATTACAGAGTACAGGTTCCTGCGGAGGGAAAGAGCACAAGGGAGGCCGCAAGGGAAAGAGCCCGATGGTCGAACGGGAGTGGGCCGAGCTAAAGCGGGAGGGCCTCCATGGTCGAAGCGGGAGGTCGGGCTGCTTGGAGGGTGGAGATGCGGGCCCGGGTGGGCAGAAAGCACTCCCGGGTAGAGCTCGCATTCCCCCTTCTTTTAGTAGCCGTTAGGGACGAGGACTTTACCTTTTATTTTTACGTTAGGGTAATTATCGGGTTATTCGATACGGATTCTAAAATATTCAAAAATTACTTTTACATCATGGTTACCGGGTAGTTATCTTATTACCTCTATACTACAGGGTAAAAGATCTGGATTACCCGGTAATTACCTCTACCCTAAGGGTAATTTAATTTTTTAGTATAGTTTAACTAGATTGATTCAGTAAAATGTATAGAATTGTAATTTGAATAATTTTGAAAATACACATTTTTGTTTTTTTAAGATTAATAGTGTTACCCGGTAATTATGTCTTTACGTTAACATTACCCTACCCTATAGTCAAACCTCTACCTTTTACGATGTAACCCTCAAATGTTACCTTACCTGTAGGTATGTGCGCAGATAGACCTAATATCGACGGATTCTGCCATCGAGAGCCCCAGAATATTTGGCAGACGTGACGATGAGGGACTAAAAGTCCCTCATCAACATAAAAGTCTGCGTGGACTAAAAGTCCACGCAGAGGGTTTCGAGCGAGGAGCAAGTGTGGCAAGCAAGCTCGGTGTTGTGAATTTCTCCTCGTGATGATGTTGGGGTATAATGCTTGGAGATATTTTCAAGTATCGTACCTTTAAGCTTCGTAAGCCCAAGCTTCGTAAGCCCACATGAGCTCGTATATATCTCTGCGAATTTCTCCCCTTCCATCACAAGGGCGTCCGCATACCGAGTTGGAGGTCACTGAGCATTCATTCAGCGATCAGGGGATGTAGAGAACTCTGCCCAGTTGATTGTCGACCGATCAGGAACTTGAGGACATTACACACAAGTGCCAGGAAAAATGGATGAAGTGGTGGATGAATCACCGCCCACCGGGCTCGGCTTGAGACGGCAGCAGCTTCGACAGACGGGTCCATGTGAAATTTTTAAGCAGGTAAACGAGCAAATGAATCGCCCTCCGTTACGGTCGGTGATGCTCAAGGTCCACTTCCCATTTGCTCTACTCAATATCGGAGCTTCAGTGCTCCTCACTTCCAGGATCCCCAATGAACCTTCATCGCAGGTTTTGATGGCCGCCACAGCTCTGGGAGTGGCAACCTCTTGGCTGGCAAAACTCTTAGTCGTGGCTGCCACGTTCTTCACAGTGGGACGCCAGTACCGGGGAGAGAAGGTGACGCTGCTGGAAGCTCTCCGAGCTATGCTGGGCTTGTGGCCAAAATTGTTCGTCAACAATCTTTATAGCACGGGCTTCACGTTCCCCGTATTCATGGTGAGTCTAACCGCGGCCATGATCATCATCTTTAACGCCTCCTCCGATGCTGTCAAGTATTTCGCTTTCGTTGTGATCGCCTTGGTCCTCATCATTCTGGCGGTCGCGATCCAAACTTTGTCCATCTTCGCGACCGCAGTTACCTGCTATGAAAAGACTTATGGCTGGGCTGCTTACGAGCAAGCGCAGAAGCTCCTGCAGCGCAAATGGAATTCGGTACCGCTCTTCGCGCTCATATTTTATGTTCCCGTATGGATCTACGCCACCTTATTTTCATATCTCTTGAAGGATCTCCCGAGAACCTCTTTATTGGAGGAACTGTTCAGGATAGTTTCGTATGCTATCGTGATCACATTCCTTGATCAGCGGTTAATAGTTTCGGGTGCCCTGTTCTACTTCTCCTGCTTTGAGAAACCCGACGAGCAGAATGTGAGTGATGACATGGAAGCTGGGTATGACTCAATTCCCTCACAGGAGGTTTAGGTACCAGAATACAAATGGTGTCCGATTCGTCATTTCCTTTACAGATAGAGAGCTCACATCGTACACGTTCTCAAGCACGCAAATATAAGAACTGGGCATTTGCAAGCTCGAGGACGAGTTCTTCAAATGTCCAGTTGTATTCTGTCTAAGCTTGTATATAGGACCTCTAGTCATACGTCGACGATGAGGAACAATGAGAATTGACCAAATTCTCATAGTACATTCAGCGGCATATTTTCATAAGTTACGTGATTTGGAGACAATCCTCTGTGCTGAGAAAATCAGTACATGTGGCTCACATTTTCGGCCTTTCTCTTACTCCCGGACTGTGAAATATTCCTCTGTTTCGTGTTCTTGGGGGCTTTTGACTTTTTTCTGATTCCTTGCCTTCTACGAGATTTCATCATTCATCAATTCATCTTTGCTGTAAATAGCTGGGAGAAGCTACTGAGACGGAGGATAGGCACGTCTAACCAGAAGCAGCAGAAAAATCACCCAAACCCAAACCAAAGATTTTTCTTTGTAGGCTTTACGACGCCGGTTGGATCTGGAAATATGCTTCATGCGTGCTCTGTGTGGAGAGCAGTATCTGGTCATAGGAAATAGCCACCATCAGGACTCTCTAGTTTAGGCATATGCCTCCTTGTGCCTAATTTAAGTATATTAGTCACATACATGAAATAAATCGTGATAATGAAATTAGTCATCAATTAAAAAAAAATCCAAGATTAACATTCTATAGATTTTAATTAAATTTACATAATAGTGATTCAATTTTAGCAAGATCTTCTAGAAAAATAATTCTAAAAAAAATTTATTCTATCAAATTTAACCAAAAGATGTCACAAAAATAAGACATAAAAAATTTCCAATCTAAATAAATTTCTCTCAACCCTTTGTTTAGGAGAGTGTATCTATTTTTATATTATTTGTCCAAATCCCAAGTCTGGATCATACATGAAATCGTCTGAAATGTATCTTGCACGTGTACAATCATCATTATGTGAATGACTCTTACTTTCTAGATCTCTATGAGCTATCGTAACAGACAGCATATCAACGAGGTTATGGACAATCATGAGAATGATTCTTGCATGTATCTTCAGCAGGAATTCTCTCAAAAAACATTATCCCCTTATTTTATTGTTTCAAGGTGCGCAACATGTCATACTCCTTGTTATATTGCTTCAAGGTGCACAACATATAATACTGTTTACATTGGAAAAATACTTATAGAGAAAAATCAATAAGAGATATGTTAATTTATTTTTTTTTTTAATTTCAACATTGAGAAGTCCCTTAACAAGCGTTGTATATGGAAACAATGAAGCTAGTCTACTGACGAAATCTACTAATATGTTCTATCATTTTACTGTCTAGCTATTTGAAAATTTTTCTTTTTGAAACTATTCGAGAAATAATTTTTCTTTCTGAAACTACTCTAAAAATAATTTGGAGATTAAGCACTCAATAGATTTGAAATTAAGGATATTAATCATCTAGTTTTAGAATGCCTAATGTAATAGGCTTGGCCATCATGCTTCTTAGCGGGTCTGTTCAACTTCATTGCAATGTCCAGAGGATAATGTCAACTTGGTATTTGTACTTAAATGATAAACCGTATGTAGCAAGCATACATACTCTAGAATATCTGGGCAGATCCTTTGTCATTTGCGCTCCTAAAACAACATTACCCTCATGTAACCAAGTAAATAACAAAATAACAATTGGAAGATCCTATCCGCCTCGACAAGGAAGACTCTGAATGACAAAACATCGATAGTATTATTTTGGGGAATACATCCAGCAACACCTAAGGTATTTTAATTCTCAAGGATTTACCAGTATGGCAGGCTATGTGTAGCTATTGTTGTCTTGCTATGAGAATGTTCTGTTACATGCTGCCAAAATTATCATTTTTTCACAAAACTATTCGTATTAGTTTGCCTTGCAACTGTACTATAGTGTCCTATGTGTGCATCCAACCATGGTTGGATGCACATGGGACACAGAGAGGTTGTTGGAGCTATAGTAAGGCTGGCTCCTTCAGTAGAATCTTTCTAGAATTTACGTTACTTTTACATCATGATGATTTTCTATCGTAGGAGGTTACACTGCGTTTGGATGAGAAGTTTGAGCCTGTAGTCTATATATCAAGGTGATTTTTGACATGGAATTTTTTTCCTATGATTCTTGACTGCAATGGCTTATTGCAAAAGAATATTTTTTTTACTAATTTTGCAATGATAGTTTTAAAGTTTTTTTGAATAAGTAACAAACATAATGTGAGCTATGTGAACTTAGAAGACATAACTTGTGGTATCACTCGACTACAAACCTGACTTCCTCTTAAAATTCATTTAGTCTTAAAATTCAAGGTGTCAAAGTTTAGGGGTTAAGCATGTTTCAATCGTCGGACAAAGAGCACTTACTGGTTTATTCAGAAATTAGCAATTATGATAGGAGATGACTCTTGAATGTTATTGTTGTTTGTAGAGTATTAGATACAATTAGTTCAGATATTTTAGGTAGAATACTTCTCTTCTCCGATTGTAAAGTCATTTAGTTCTTCTTGCCTCATGTCAAGGGATTGTTCTTATCCATGTAACTTGATGAGGAACTAACATACTTCTGATTCCAAATTTTGATGGATACAAAAATTCATAGGTTTCTCATTAACGGGGTACTCCATCTTGAAAGCATTAGAATTATTGATACTTCAGGCTCTCCTAAGCCAGCGTGGATTTTCAACAAATTCTCGGTACCTCGGATTGAGCGTACCCAAAAAATATGCTCAACATATATTCTAGATACATGATATACCTATGCTCAACACTCAGCTCCGATTTACACATTGCAATCAGGGCAAAGCAGGACAAATCGGAGAATCGTCTTGAGTTAGAAATAAGAAATATTTTCAGTGAGGTGTACAGAAACGTATGTATTAACTACAAGTCTGTTGGAAAGTCGTATTCGCGCATACACCTATTCGAAGTAGTCTAACCTGACACATGGGAATAAATTGCTCGAGCATTTTTAACTGCTTTAGCATGCGGAGAGAACAGGTGGAAGATTTCGTTCGAAAGCAGGCACATGAGTCAGACCCCCTATGGGACTGGCTCGAGTGCAAAGGCCCCTAACAGTTTCAAACGTTGCGTGGCAGTTTAGTGTAAGTTTAAGTTGGCAGACTTACGTCTGTCAGCTTTATTCCGAATCTTTTGTAAATTGGACTAGAGTTTTTTCTGCATGGGACAACAAAACATAATATTTCATTTTAAGGCTTTCTTGTACATAGCTGGTTATTTGTTCAAGTATGCGCAGTTTGTTTTTTGATTGTGAATTACAATTGAAAAGTGAAACAGCTAATATTATAGTAAAAAACCAACAAGTTGTGCATGGGTGCATTCAAAAACTTTCTTCAAGTAAACACAAGGGTCATATATATTCCATTAGAATCCTTGTGAGTGTATGAAATTGTTGAAATGTTTATTTTATTGTCTGGAACTTTGCTTTAAACTATGTAACTATTTAAGCAATTTGTATATCATAACTTCCTACACTTTCATGGCAAAGCCTTGCGGTCACCACATGAATATTACCTCATCAAATGGTCCATAGAAAAAAGCTGTGATAACATACATCTGATCAAACACTAGATCATATAGAATCACAAAGGCACATAACAAACGTATTATACAATACTTTGCTACTCATGCAAAATTATCATTCTAATCCACACCTTTGCGTTGTATGAATCCCTTGTCTACCAACTTGAACTCAAAAATTTTCTCATATGTATTTGTGGATCCATATTTCTTCTTGTAAACCCAGTTACAATCTACCACTCTTTTAACTTGGGACAACTCAACTCAACAAGTTTCCAAGTGTTATTGGCATAAAGTGACTTAATCTACTTCTGCATTGCTACATTTCACTCTTGCTTCTCACTATAAGCTAAATCTTCAAAGAAAAGAGATTGATCAAAGCGTCATTTGAATCCTCAACATCGGCTTGAATATCATTATTGATTCATGTATCAAACCAAATGTCATATCTAATCAGAGCTTGATGTTCAGCTGCACTCCGCAATTGTCGCCTTGATGAAGATTCCGCTCGATCAATTTGTGCTCATTCTAAATGTGGCTCACTGACAATCAATTCCTCTTGTTTGACAACATGTGGAACTTCTTCTTGTGGTCCATCATTAGTGATGTTAATACCAATCTTCCTCTCAAGGATGTAAGTGATAAGAATCTTGTACTTGTCAGTAACATGAGAATGCACTTTTTCCTCTTCATTAAATGATCTTGATTCATTGAATGAAACATTCTTACTAACAATGAGTTTGCAAGCATTGACATCCCACAATCAATGTACCTTTACTACTCTTTGATAACAAAAAAAAACACATTTTTTAGCTTTAAGTCAAACTTAGTCTCATTAAACTTTTGAGTAAGAACATAAACATCACAATCAAAAAATCCTAACATAAAGTAATCACCTGACCATTTGTATCACAATTCAAACGGTATCTTGAATTTGATAGAGCTATTAGTAGACAAGTTTACCAAGTAAGCTGCAGTATACACAGCTTCAGCCTTAAACGTACGTGATAAATTAACAAGACTCAACATACTTCAAGAGCACTCCAATAGTGTGCGATTCAATATCTCAAACACAATATTTTGTTATGGAGTATAAGGTGTGGTGAGATGGCAAATATCTCCATTCTTTTTGCAATACAGCTGAAATTCTATTGAATTATACTTCATGTCGTTATCTATGTGCAAATGTTTTACCTTCTTTCAAATCTATGTCTCAACCAAAGCCTTTCAATTCTTGAAAATTTTAAAAACCTTAGACTTCTAAATTATCTAATTAGTCCAATTATCTAAATGAGATCAAGTTCATACACATACTAGTAATGTGTTATACGTTGATGAAGGTAGGGATAACTCCATCAAACATTTGAATCTTCATAGATCCAATGCCAACAATTTTGTAGGAAAAATCATTCCCGATAAAAACTGTAATCGTTGACGGAGTGTAAATCTAAAAAAACTCCTTAACATGACAAATGTGCTAAGAGCAAGCTGAATCTAAAATCCATTCATCATTTTCAACATGGACGGAAGTAAAAAACGCATAACCGGAATCCTCAGTTACATCCACGCTTGTCGAGGATTTACCAATTGCCTTACCACAACAATCTTTGCGAATGTGATCAAGTTTGTCACATTTCCATTATTTGATGTTCTTATCTTTAGACTTAGCACTTAGATCTAAACTTGATATTGATGATTTCATTGACTTTATTCATAATGATGTCTTATCACAAGAGACCGTCAATGCAGAAGACGATGGAGTAGATTGATCGGATGAGGGATGCACAAACACCAACAACATCTATTGCATGTTGTCAGTCAATAAATCAATAATAACCTTATTATAAGTGATGGTTTCCTTGTCATAATGAAGCAACATCAGTGATTGAAACTAGTATGAAGCCGACAAAGAACTCATAAACTGAATTGTTTTTGGCTCATCACTCAAATCTTTTCCAAAGTTCTAAAGATCCAAAATCAAATCATTACAATCATGGACTTGGTTTTGAATCTTATCAACTTCTGTTCGTGGAACTTCCATTTGCTTGAAGTCATTTCGCTTGAGATACAACATCATAA